CGGCGGTGCTCGCCGCTCGTGTTCGCCTCTGGCTCGCTCCCGACGTGCAGGAACTCGGCGCTGCGACGGCTCGTGCTGTGTTTGCGAGCAGCAAACCCCTGCCCTGGGCTAGGGGGGCAAAGCAAGGGCAAAATCACCACTTTCCTGCTGCAGGGAAGGGGCCGGCAGGGGCGCAGAGGCAGCTGAGGTGGGCAAGGAGAGCGCTCCCTGCTTCCAGAGGCGTCCAGCGCTTCCTGGGCCTGGGAGCACGGGGAGGAGGGACACGGGGCTGTGTGACAGCGCGGGGCTGGCACCGGGGCACCGGAGAGGGCGCAGAGCCCTCGGTCCCCACGCGCCGCCCGCGCGAGTCCCCCCGATGGCTTCGGCTCCGCGGGGCGCCGGCGCCCGGCCGCGCGCTGGCGGATCCAGGGCCGTTGCTATTTACTTTACTTCGGCAAAGGAAAGCTCTGCGCGAAGGACGGAGTTAGGAGCACGGGATTTAACACAGCGGCTGCAGTGGGAGTAGCAAGAGAGCAAAGACGCGGGATTTGGATTCCTAAACCCTGCTCTGTAACAGCTCGGCATTTCTGAGGACACTTGTTCTCCACGGGACAAGGGATAATTGTGATGGGGACTTGGAGCTGGGATCCTCCCCCCTTACAGGCCATACCAGCTCTAGTGTTTCCTTCTGTGCTGTCCTGGGCATGGGAGAGCTCCAGGCTTTGGGTTTTCCCTGGAACGGAGCAGCTCCAGCCCCATTTCTTTCTTCGGCATTGGAATTGCAGCGTGTGTGCTCTGCCCTGTGGGAGCCTTCACGGGGTCTGTTTAAAAAAAGAAAGAAGGAAACAAAAAACAAAAAGGAAGAAAACAATAGCTAAATACCAAGGAAATGCTGGATGACGCACAGAGGTTGAATGAAATACAGATGTTCCGTCACCTATATTGTCTGCCTGAAACTTGCATAAAAATTGCCGTGTTCCATGGGATGAAGTTTGTCACATGAGGAGCAGACGGAGCTTGTGGCCACGAGGTTTCCAGGCGTTTATCCCATAGGGAGGGACTCGCAGCCCTTTGCTATTCTTAGCAAACACCTGCAACCCAGGCCCCTAATCAGCGGCCTTTTGGATTTGATTTGGGGCATCCTGAAGAGAGAAACAGCCTGCAGACTTCCAGGGGCATGGAAAACAGAGCGGAGCGCTTGGAGCAAAGAAACCCCCCTGCCGCTGCCCCTCGCGTCGAGGTCCTGAAATCCTAACACACCTTTAGCTCCTGCACTTGAGCTGCCGGATAGTGTTAGGGGCAAAGAGGATATTTTTCCAAGCGGGATGCTTGCAAGACCAGCGCAGACTGTGGGGCAAGGGCTGCAGCTAAGTCCGGTTTCTAATCCAACCGGAGGAGCCGCCTTTCCTAGCGTCCCCGTCCACTTGCTGTGCCCAGTGAACCCGTCCGCTAGCAGCGGTGCAGCCCGGCCCCGAGGGCATCGCTGCCGAGAGCGGAATGCAAAATAACCCCAAATGGGCACAGCGTGAGCGAGCCTGGAGGCCGGGGTGATGGTGCCGCTCTGCCCAGCTGCCTTCGTCCTCCCGGCGGCTGCCACGGCTGCAGCTCGGCTTCTTCTTCCTCTTCTTCCTCTTCCTCCTCCTCCGGGCAAGGGAGATCCTGGAGCCTGGGAAGGAGGAGGCAGCAGCGGAGCCCGCAGGGCTCTTCCCAGCTCCCGGCTCTGCCTCCTTCCCCTGGCCAAGCTCCTCTGGGGAATCCAGCGGATCGGGACGGGGCTCCGGGACGGGAGCTGGTGGTGGGGGAGCACAGCCCTTTGGGCAGCCGGTGATCCCTCCCGTGCCCGGCAGCTCCCGCGGGCTCCGATGGCTGTAAAGTCGCTGCAAGGAGGATTTGCAGGGAAGAGCTTGTGGTGGGGGGACAGGAGGTGCTGGGGCAGGCAGTGAGGGGGGAGAAGGAGCTGCCCTCTCCCCAGCCGGGCTCTGCCCGCTCCCTCCGAGCTCTGTGGCTCTTGCAGGAAGCGTTTGGAGCCTCCCGCTTCCGAAGGGAAGCCGCAGGTTTGGAAGGCTCTGCTGCACGGGGGACACAGCCCTGCAGCCGGCAGTGACAGGCAGCGTGACGGCCGGTGTCCTGCACAGCCAGCACCCCCTTCCAGCAGTGTCTGCGAGGCACCCACGGGTGACATTCCCAGCACAAACCCGGTTCACGCAGAAATGGGCATCACGTCCTTTGGCCTGGAGAGGACCCCGGAATATTAGAGAGCATCCAAGGTGGGAGACAGGTTGTGCCGGGGCTGCATCGGTCTCTGCAGGACGGATTTTCCCAGTAACTCAAGTGCAGTTGCTCAGCACATGTTGCTGGGGCCGGATCTTCAGAAGAGCCCAGTGGGCAGCGCGGGGCTTTTGCGGAAAACTTGGCCGCTTCTTGCAGTATCGGAGAGGGAGCTGTGGTACATATGTGCACGTATGTCCTCCTACATACAGGTACATATGTGCACGTATGTCCTCCTACGTACAGGTACATATGTGCACGTATGTCATCCTACGTACAGGTACATATGTGCACATATGTCCTCCTAGGTACAGGTACATATGTGCGCATCCTGCGTACAGCCGGAGGGCGATTTGCAGGCGGGAAACAGCCAAGATTTGGGAGCTGGAGGGTGTGAGTTTGCTTGCTGCCATCAGAATGAGATCCTGGGAGGTTTTATTCTTTGGGATGTTCAATCCCAACATTCCTGGTTTTGCTAACACGTGTGTTACACGTGTTGCACCTTCATGACTGAAATGCAGCTGGGATTTGGTGGGGCTGAAAGAGAGAAGATAAGTTTTGTGGTAATCGGGAAGTTTTAGGACTCGGGTTTGTGCAGAGATATGGCAAAATCCATTGGAATGCTGGCTCCTGTTCCTAGATTTGTTTTAATCTTCGGAGTGTGGCACCGGCATCATCTGCCAGCAGGCAAGGGTATGTCCAGGTGGGGCTGGGATCCCTCACTTTTCTTCCTGATTTTCCTGCTGCTTCCCGGTGAAAGCTTCACAGGTTATTTCATCCTTGGTTTCCCCATTTGTAAAATGAGATGCACATATTAAACAACTCCCTCGAGCTCATTGAAACCCTCTGCTGTGCGCTATGAAGTGAGTGCAAATTATTGCTACTACTGGAGTCAGGCGCTACCAGTTCCAGCTCTGCCACTGATACAGCCATGGGCTGCGGCGAGACTCGACTGTCTGCACCACAATTTCCCCATCTTCCTGTTCTGGGAGGCCCACGAGAATTACTCAGCATTTGCAGCACGAGCAGCCCCAAGCCTTTAAAACATTATGACATTTTAGCAAAGAATTCATTCTAATTTGTCTTTCAGTATTTGCTCTGCAGCAATCACATTCACACGCTCTCCTTGCTCACTGCCGGAACTGGCCATGTGCATTAAAATAAAAAAAAAAGGGGATGAAGAAAGCAGGAGAGCAGGGATTCTTGCAGAATGCAGTTGTTCCAAGAAGTGAAGAGCTCTCCCAGAAATGCCAGACGTGGGGATTGTTTGGATAAGGCGCTGGCAGCCCTGCTCGCATCGGCCGGGCACTCGGCAAGTGCAGTCAAGTTCTCGGCCGCGTTCGCCTCCGTCCTCAGCAGCCGGCGGCGGCGAGAGCTGCCGGGGCAGATTTGCACGAGCGGACGGGAGAGCGGAGCCGGCGCTGGCTGCAGCACGGGCCTCCCTTCCAAGCGCATTGCAAATGCAGCCAAAACCACAGAGGAAGGTGCTGATTTTTGGAGCGTTTTGGCTTCACCTCTGCTTCACTTCCTGCTTTCTCTAGCCTTTTCTTCCTGCCCCTCCTCTTGATTTTCCCCCAAATGATTCCAGACATTTCTCTCTCCAAAAAAAACCCACCCTCCAGATCTCATGTATTTGCTGCAGTGGCCTCCTGCTTCCAGCAGCATCCCGTCTTTGGCATATGCCAGCAGCTGTAGCCTCAGGGCTTTGCCTGCCCAAGGAAGCAACCGCATCCTTGTGGAGAGCCCCACGGAGAGGACACGGCTTCAGGCCAGAACAAGGGCTCCATTTCAGCTTCCAGAATGAATCATCAGCCCTGGCACCTGCAGATCCCACTGAAACAATCTGTTTTAGCACAAGCACCTAGAAAGCACCACATGCGAAGAGTCACCCTGCAGTTAATTCCCCAGCATGCTATAAACCCAGGACTGAGGGTTTCCCAGGCCATAATTTTCCCTTCATTTGCAATCTGAAGAGTCTTGACTTCACCAGGGCTTTAATGAGAGAAAAAAACAGGATGAAGAAATCAAACTGAACAGCCTGGCTCCTGCTAACGGAGATGGACCCGGAGCAGCTGCTGTCTTTGGGAGGGAAACGTGCAGGATCTGTGGGTTGGGTTCAAGCCTGAGGTCTGCACTGACTGATCTCCCTACCTGTGCGTGCGCGGAAAACAGGATCTTTGCATGGGCCCTGCAGGGCGGATCTGAGAAACCTTTGAAGAAGAGAGAGCATGAGGGCAAGGGGGCACACAGCCCCTTTGGGTAAATAGCACAAGGAAAGGTCGG